TGGAGAAGGCCATCCATGCCTTTGTGAGCTCTAGGCTTGATTACTGTAACGCCTTATATGTGGGTATTAATCAATCTTCTATCTCCCGTTTACAGCTTGTACAAAACTCTGCTGCTCGCTTGTTGACTAACACACGTAAATATGAACACATCACTCCTGTCCTTTCTTCTTTACACTGGCTCCCAGTTCAGTTTAGGATACAGTTCAAGCTTCTGCTGTTTGTTTTTAAAGTTTTGAATGGCCTTGCACCGCTCTATATTTCAAAACTTTTGAAAGTCCACCAGCCCAGCTGAGCTTTACGGTCTGCTGGCCAATATCTGCTGGAGGTGCCTCGCTCAAAGTGCAAACAATGGGGGGACCGGTCCTTTTCTGTTGCAGGCCCAACAGCCTGGAATACTCTTCCCCATGAGCTGCGTGCCATCTCTGATCTGGTTCTGTTCAAAGACAAACTGAAAACCTACTTATTTAAAGGGGCTTTTAATGTTTAACTTTTAATATTTTAGTTTTTAGCATTTTTTAAATCTATTTTACCTTCTTTTATTCTGGCTGTGTTTTTAATTTGCACTGACTTAGTGTGCTGTTTTTATTTGTTTTAACTTGTAAAGCACCTTGATCAATGCAAGACGTTGTTGGAAGGTGCTATAGAAATAAAGTTTATTATTATTATTTTAAAACTTACTGATAACAACGCTAACAGTCCCTTAAAATTTGAAATTATATCTGCAGATTGTCACTTTTCCACTTTCGCTCAGCTCTACAGCACTCGCGTCGAACAGCATGAGTTTTATCATTCTGCCAGGGCTCAGATGTTGTCTTGGTCAGTCTGTCCTTCAGTGGAGCTACGGTGTCCAAAACAGATTGGCAGATGAGATGAAACCATGAACTAATCTCCTCTGTATCCTTGTTAGTACATTCAGTGACACAATTGTTATTCTGACTGAAAGCAGCTGAGAACTGAGCAGCAGTGTAAGCGTTAATGATGTGACAGCGTTGGACAGCAGCGCAAGGTTTAACTGTGTTATGAGCGATAGCAGCTTCAAATAATACAGGCATATGATCAGAAAATACTGTGTCACAAACCCTAAGTTAAAAACAGGTAAACCAAAAAATAAAACAAGATCAAGTATGTGTCCACGTTCTTGTGCGGGATCAGACACAGTCTGCACAAGATTAAAAGAGTCAATAAGGCTTAAAAAGTCTTTTACCATTGGCTTATCTGGACAACACACATGAACATTAAAATCACCAACAATAAGCACACGGTCATATTTAGGCATAATTTTAGTCAAAAAGCCAGGGAAATTACTTAGAAAGTCCTTATTGTATTTTGGTGGCTGATAAACCAAACAACACAGTGGAAGAGCAACACAGTTCAAACAAGCTCAGTTCAAAGCTGGACAACGAGGATGGAAGTGATAGCTGCTTACATTTATAGTGACTCTTAAAAACAGTGGCGATTCTTCCACCTCTGCCTGACAGCCGCGGGCAGTTAAAATAGCAGCAGTTCTGAGGCTAAAGTTCAGTGAAAGTGCTGGACTTACCAACATTCAGCCAATTCTCCGTCACAAAGAGAAAGTTCAGTCCTCAGGATGTGAAGTAATCCTTAATTACAAAAGTTTTATTCACTAGCGATCGAGCATTTACTAAGGCCATACTGGCAGGAACCGGCGGCTTCGAGGCATCAGCTGACCGGGGAGCCCGACTCACCGGTTGCAGGTTGCACAGATTTACTCCGCGGCGGCGAAGATGGGGAAAGCATGGAGGGTGAGGCTAGAACATCTCATGAGAGCCAACAACAGGTATCAACCAGGAGTCAACAGGGTCCAAGAAATGCAGAGAATAAAAGATGTGAGACGTCACTCCAATCGGGGTCCCAAAAACTTTAGAGAAACATAAAAACTGGCTTTCAGCTTCACCAGCTGGCCGCTGCGCTTACCGCAGCGGCGGCGTTTACGCCCGAGAGGTGGAGGTGGGGCGTGACAGAGGTGAGCTGGAATCCGCAACAAAAACGAGAGCAAAGACTCGTGCCCAGCATAATCCAATTTTACCAGATCTTTGGTCAGAAGTTGAAGATCTAGTAGCGTTTGACGTTCGTACACCAATAGAGAGTTGATTAGCAAAAAGTGACAGGAACAACACAAAAGCACACAAAGTTGATAGGCGGCAGGCGGCAGGCCATACACTCAGGTGTCATCTTCAGGTCAGCTGCAAAGCTGGAGAATGAGGAGTTTTACCCAAAATAAAAAATAAAAAAAGCAAAATTGCATTTGAAAGTAAAAATTTGCTAAAATTTAGCTAAAAGCTAAAATCAATAAAATCACAGCCCAAACTCAAAAGTGACATACAAGTGTCATAAGAAGAAAAAAATAGATCTAGTATGCTAAAGGAAATTTCAAAGGGAGCAATGATTTGATAAGATCTCATTGTGTTTCCATGGGAAGTTTAATTTAAACTTAAAAAAGGGGGGGGGGGGGGGGGGCTCAGCCTGAGAGATTAGGTGAGGAGCTCCATCTTCAGGGGGCTGGAGGATTTGTTTAGATAAAGGCCCCCACATACTCAGACGTACTTCACTCCACGGAAATCTGCGTGTACTCGAGACGGACTCAACTTGGACTCAAAGCGGATGTCCGCTGGCCATATCCGCGCAAAGATCAATTTTTACGACCGTGTACGTGTACTCGGTGTTGCACAATAAACTGCCTGGTGACAGACTGTTCTGTATGTAACACCAACCGTTCTCTGTGCAGTTGTAAGGATGCCAAGATGCAAGCGATCTCTTCCTCCTCATCCGTTGACGTCATGACTGAAATTGTGAGAAATGAAGGAATTCGTCACGAGAGAATTAAAATCTGTATGCTCAGGTCCAGCATGGCTGCAGGAGGGTCTGGAGATTTCCTGGTGGGCCGGTCTGATGTGTGGGCTGCAGGGTCAGCGCTCCCTGTTTTTTTTTTTTTTTTTGTAGAACTTTTTATTAACAACATAAAAACACAGAACACTGCTGCCGCTGCTCGAGCCGCCCTGCCTCTACCCAGAGGGATGGCATCTCTCGTTTTTTTTTTTTCACGAGTCAGATTAGCGATGCGGCCTGTCAATCAATCCAGTAGGCGTGTCAGCAAATTATCAATTGGTGACCTCAATTTGTCCCGAAGGCCAACACCCCTTTCCTGCAGAGCTGTGCTGCAGCCCATCAGGATGTACGCTCGAGTATGAAGTCTCAACCGTCTGTGGACCATACGCATGGACTCAGCGTGGCTCACGGAGTACACATAGTACACCTGAGTATGTGGAGGCCTTAAAAGTCATGGCTCCTCTGCATCAGAAGGTGTAAACTGAGGTGATTTATGATCAGGATGCCTACTGGACGCCTACCTTTGAAGGGTTTTTATGCATGGCCCCGTGTAAGAAGACTCTGGGACAGATCCAGAACTTTCTGGACTCCTGTTGTGACTTGTCACTACAGTATATAAATAAACTGAAATTAATTGAACTGAATTGAATTGGAATGATTATGTTCCCTCTGGGGCAGCACGGTGGCGCAACTGGTAGAGCTGCTGCCTCTCAGCGAGCAGGTCCCTGGTTCAAACCCCGGTCCAGGGGCCTTTCTGGGTGGAGTTTGCATGTTCTCTCTGTGCATGCGTGGGTTTTCTCCGGGTACTCCGGTTTCCTCCCACAGTCCAAAAACATGCATGTTTGGCTGATTGGTAACTCTAAAATTGTCCCTAGGTGTGAGTGAGAGAGTGAATGTTTGTTTGTCTCGTTTGTCTCTATGTGGCCCTGTGATGGACTTGCAACCCGTCCAGGGTGTACCCCGCCCCTCGCACAGTGATTGCTGGACATGGGCACCAGCGACCCCCGTGACCCAAATTGGAATAAGCGGGTAAAGAAAATGGATGGATGGATGGATGTTCCCTCTGTGGCTTGGAAATGCTTTAACACCCAAGAGGAGCTAAAGAGGGACTCTCAGGAAAGGGGTTCTGCCAGGTTTACCTCCTGGACCTGTTGCCTCCACAACCTCACCACAGTTAAGCAGTAGATGACTGAGTAGAAGACTAAATATTCTGAAAACTAGAAAAGTTACCAAAACTGAACATCATGGCATACTTTTCCTGGTTAAGATGAATATTCAAATTTATGAATGGTTCTACACAAAGTATTCAGAAAGTTTAAATAGAAACAGTGTAAAGGCTGCTTCAGTAATACTTCCAGCTGTGGTGGTGGGGCCAGAGGGAGAACAGAAGTTCATGTTTTCTTGCTAATAAGGTCAACCTGAAGGTGGAGAATAGCGCAGTGATTTTGTTTTCCTCACACACAATGCATCCTCCATGTCGGCAGCAAGACAAACTAGATGACGGGAGCTTTCCAATAACAAGAATCAAATTTCTTTTTCAGCAAAAAGGATCAGGGATCTGGGCTAACTGATGAAGACTGACAGCCCAGGATACCAAGAAGAGCCTGAAAATGACTGTCTGAGTTCAGGAAAAGCATACAAACATCCCCTTAAGGGTATACAGGTCTTTACATTGGAACATTTCAGTCTCTTTTTAGGAAAACCAGATCCTTAACATTGGAACCATTCACTACCTTTAAGGAATGCCAGGTCTTTAATGTTTGAACTGTTCATTTTCCTTGAAGGATCGCCAAATCTTTAACATAAGAACGGTTCATCCACGATTTTAGAAATGCCCCTTCATTAACGTTGGAATGATTCACTCTCCTTTAAGGAATTTAGGTGTTTAGCATTGGAACAATTTTGCTGATCTGAAATGCAATAATGGATATGGTGTATGTTGCCACAAAAAATGAAATTAATGAAACAAATTACTGCATACCATGAGAGTATGCTGCTTGTAGTGCAACTGCAATAAAAGTCTATTATTTTGTATATTTATTTCAATATTATCCTATTTGATCTTGTAAACTAAACTATTTTTTATATAATAATAACATGAGAGATGCTGGGGCAGAGAACTGTTGACAGTGCAGGTGAACACGAGACTCACCAAGGGTCCTAAAGGGTCTCTGCTGGGGCACCAAAGAGAAGAACCCTGGCTTTAGTGCGTTTGTGATGATGACGTCAAACAGCTCCTCAAAATCCGTTCTGTAACAGCATGAAAAATACTAAAATGAGTGTCAGGCAGGTGTTTGAGCACCTGGAAGCTCTGCAGTCTGGAGGAATGATGGAAAACAGCAGCAGCAAACCATCAACTTGACACAGCTTGTCTGTGGAGAGATCTGTTAAACAGGAAAAGGAAATAGTCTTACTAGTCTGCAGTCATGAAGACAAGTAGGATGTGTCACTTTATAAGATGATTTGTGCAACTTTGCAGCATTTTCTGAAAAAGTATGTTTTTCTCTAAACAAAATAGACATGTTTATCGTAAATTTATATAAAAAAAGAAAAAAATTATCCTTAATTTAGATTTTCTGAGAGATGCTAATACGCCATCGTATTTTAACCAGAAATCTCTTGATTTCAACAAAATATGATTACCTTAATTTGTGTATGAGAAAATTAAGATGTGAGTTTATTTTTAAATAATATAAGCACTTCTAAAAACAGCCAATAGGGAGCACAAGCTCTCTCTTGTGCCGATCCCAAGCCTGGGTTAATGGTGAGAGTTGTGTCAGCAAGGGCATCCAATAAGAAATCCTTTTGCCAAAACTATAATGCGGGTTATCCTGATGCATGCTCAATAATCCAGGTAGAAAAATCTAAAAAAGTTAAATCTGGTCCTCTGGACATTCAAAAAAAACAAAACAAAGCAAAACAACAAAAAAATGTAGAAACGTTTCGTCTCTCATCCGAGAGACTTCCTCATCCCAAAGATCCAGTCCCCCGGCACAAACAGAGCAATGTTGTGTATGCTGTTCAGTGTCAGGAGGGCTGTGATCAGTCTTACATCGGGGAAACTAAACAGCCACTGGCCAAAAGGATGGACCAGCACAGAAGATCAACATCATCAGGCCAGGACTCTGCGGTCTACACTCATCTCCAGGCCAGCGGTCACTCTTTCAGGGATGAAGATGTTCACATCCTGGACAGAGAGGAACGATGGTTTGAGAGAGGAGTAAAGGAGGCCATCTTTGTGAAAAGAAATCATCCATCATTAAACAGGGGTGGAGGCCTATGTGTTCAATTGTCCCCCTCTTACAATGCTGTGATTGCTAGTATCACTCAGCCCTCTGTGAACAGTACACAGCCATCAGTGTGCTAATGATCCATTGTTAGGCTGATGGTCCTTCTTGAGCATGTGATCAGCTGGTTTTGGTTGTCAGCAGCAAACTGGTTGATCCACTCTGAGAAGGTGCTATTTAAGAGACTGAGCTGAATACAGCACCTCAGACTGAGGAAGTCTCTCGAATGAGAGACGAAACGTTTCTACATTTTTTTTGTTGTTTTGCTTTGTTTTGTTTTTTTTTGAATGTCCAGAGGACCAGATTTAACTTTTTTAGATATAATGCGAGTTCAACAAAGCGAAACCATACTGTATCGGTCAATGACTGCCACTGGTGCTGTTGACAAACAGGATGACGGTGGAAATTATGCTACTGTTAGTCAAAGACCATGAGGAGGGAAACGTGTCAGGAGAAAGAGGGAGAAGAGGAAAGTCAAGAATGTAGGACTGAGGGTTGCAACTCTAATGCCCCGTTTCCTTTAGTACCCTTAGTACCAGTACAGCACAGTTCTACTTGGCTCAGTACAGTACACAATGTGTTGCCATTATGCTTTCAGTACTGGTCCCAGTGGGCAGGGTTAAAATTGACATTGCGCCTTACAAGCTGGTGGCAGGCTCAAGGTAAGACCTTGAAACAGGTTTCAGTACAGGGTGAGAATTTATTTTGAAGTCTCTGGTAAATTAAAAAGAATACAGATTATTAAAATGATCAAATTAAACTATATACACACACATATATATATATATATATATATATATATATATATATATATATATATATATACATATATACACATATATATATACACATATACATATACACATATACATATACACATATACTGTCATGAACCAGAGGCCGGATCGCAAACAACAACAACAACCACTGAGAGGGTTAAAAGATTTATTGTGAAATAAAGTAAAACTCTGGAGTAGGTCCGGTTCTGGGCTGGTTCCGATCTTCTGATTGGTAGTTCGTGATTGGGTAGTGTTGTAGTGGCGGGCTGCCAGTAGAAGTAGAACTCATGTTAAGGTCCACTGGAACGGAGTCCAACAGGTTTGCAACTAAAAGATAAAGGTTAGTAGATGCAGGGGGAAAGAGACTAATTGGGGAAATGAATCTGTGGGAATCAGATTCAGGGATAAGGATAAGTCCGTGATACAGAATGAGCTTGACCTTTAATCCGTGATCCAAAAAACAGTCAGAAGGGAAAGGCAGAGTTCATACCGTGAAGTCAGTTGTTCAGCAGAAGTATCCAGTACGTGATCCAAGAAGAGAGTCAAAAAACAAGAGCATGAGTCGGTACCTGATCAGATGAGCAAAAGCAGACGAGGGCTGAGGCAAAAGCGTGGTCGTGGTCAAGGCAAGGGTCATGAACGTGATGAGTCAATCAATGGAATGCTGGAAAGTCTACTGCTGATGAGACAGGATAGAGAATCTGGCCCAGACTGAGAGGAATGAGTGA